AAAAAAAAAAAAAAAAACGCGAAAGAGAAGAAGAAAGAAAGTGAAGGAAGGGGAAGTAGACGGCGAGGGTGACGAAGGTGAAGGTGCTGGCAGCCATAGCCGAGGTTAGGAGTTGACCGGGCGTTGACCAGACCGTTGACCAGAGGGTTGACCATGGGTTGACCAGAGGGTTGACTAGGCGTTGACCAAGGTGGTTGACCAAGCGTTGACTGGGGTTGACCGTGTTGACTCAGCGTTGACCAAGGCGTTGACCGGGGCTGCTGACCAAGATTTTGACCAAGATGGAGTTGGTGATATCTCGTTGACCCTTCAGCCTATCCCCTTACCCTGTGGATGTGCACACCCCTGCGGTACTTGCTGAGTTGAGTCTGTCTGTCTTCCTTTCTGCATTGAGTCTCTTCTGTCCTAGGTGTTAGGACTCTGTGGATGAAGGATAGGGCCTTGCTGCCAAACCTGCACGGGACTTAGTAGGACTAGTCTCTACTCTGGCATCTGGAGACCTGGGCATGAGCGGCGAGCGCTCGTTAAACAACTCGTCTAGCCCAATGACCGGTACTGTCCGGCAGGTCTACTGAGCTCAGTGTAGAGGGTCTGAACTCCGAGCTGTGGGCTGAAACGAAGGCCGTCTTTAAGTGTTGAGGCCTGGTTGAACCACTCCCCTACCGGACCTAGTAAGGCTGATGATCTGTGTCTGACGACTCGACTGTCCCGAGGGATACGAACCCCTCCAAGGACCGGTACAGACCGGCGGGCTTCTCGGTGTGGCTCAGTAGGCCGGAACGGCTGAGTTGTGGGCTGAAATCGCCAGGAAGAACTACGCTGATCACGTCGTCCTGACTGCAACGTTAAAGAATTCTTGAGGAGTTTGGGGGATCTCCTTAAATGCCTCCTGATCAGCTGTTAGTTCAGTAGTGACAGCCTTAGAGTAGTTGTGAGTAGTGGATCTTAGAGAGTCAGTCAGTAGGTCAGTGTGTCCGGGTAGGTCTAAGTGGTGAGGAGTGGGACTCTTGTCGTGCACCTAACACCACTATGGATGACTATCCGATGTATGGGTTGCTTGTGGGGTTCTCCCTCTGGGGGACCCTCTGGTGTCTCCTCTTTCCTCTGGGGTTCTGGCACGCGATGACGTGCAGAGTAGATACCCGGGGTGGTACTTCCACCAAGCCATATTCGAAAGAGGAGGAGGAGAAGATGGCCGCCATACTGCAGGAGAGGAAGGAGAAGAAGGAGGCCAAGAAGAAGACCTTGAAGGAGGAGCAGGCGGCCAAATTGAAGAAGATAGAAGAAGAGATGGCCAGGGAGAAAGAGAGGCTGAAAAAGGAAGAAGAAGAGAAGCTAAAGGAGGTGGAGGAAGAAGAGGAAGTACCGCCATTGCAAAGGCAGAGTGGGCAAAACAGTGGCAGCAGCAGTGATGAGATGGAGAAGAAGATTTCGGAGTGGGTCGCCAACTTATCCCTAGGAGAGGAAGAAGAGGTGATGATGTACATCCCAAAGGATGACCAAGAGGCTGCCATGAAGGCTTGGGATGCAGAGAAAGACCCTCTTAGGCGACAGGCATTGGAGGACCAGCAGAGGATGGAGTGGAAACTTGCCATGATGAGGGAGAAGAAGAGAAGGGTGGATGCGGCGAGTGAAGCGGTCAAGGAATTAGAAGAAGTGCAGAAACTAAGTCTAAAGCTGACCCCTCAGGTAGACCTCGAATGAAAGGTAGAGATCCTTGCCCAGAGCGTTGAGCGGTTAGCAAAGATACAAGAGCAGCAGTACGAATTTAGCCGAAGCCAGGACATAGTTGTGCGCTCGATGCGAATGGGATTCTGGGACTTTGCGCGCGAACTGATAGGAGCCGTAGGAGCCGAGGTGAACCACCGCCTCGAGAAGACAGAGCGTTTCTGCGTCGGCGCCATTGAAGGCGTCAAAGCGGCAGCTCCTCAGGAGGAGGGACCACGCCCGCCGCATAGAGAGCCAGTCAAGGTCAAATTCCTTGATTCCTATAGCGGGAAAAGGGAAGAGAACTTTGACAACTGGGAAGCCAACGTTAAGACCTATGTGCATCTGCAATAGGTCTTCCCGGATCAGCATGTTTTAATTGCGACCCACGCGTTGAGAGATGAGGCCGCCAGCTTCGCAAGGTCCCTAGTTCGCGCCGCTAATTGCAATGAGGATCCCGTTGCCTACTCGTCGTTCACCTCCCTCGTTGAGTTTATGACACTGCTGCGCGAGCGTTTCGCTGATGTTGCCCGTAGTGTCAAAGCCTCAGATAGGCTTCAGACAATACATTCGCGCCAATGGAAGAGTGCAAGGGCACTCAAGGGCACGATGGATGAGTTAGTGGCTGTCCCTGACCACAAGGTCACAGAGACCCAGTTGGTCAACCTCTTCTACCGGGCTATGCCCGAAGCGCTGCGTGGCCACTTCTTCGCGAAAAGTCAGGACCCTGCTATGACTTATGATGCACTTAGCAGGGAAGTGGTCGCGTTCGAGGCGAAATCTGCGTCGATTTCCACTTTCTGGCACAAAGATTTAGACAAAGGCAAAAAGTGGAAGGGCCGCACTATCTCAGGGCAGGTCAAGACCAAGGATAGTCTTGTGCTCACTTTAGATGAAGGTAGTGTGGATGAAATCCCCTACGATCAGATTGAGTGGGGGTTAGAGGAGGAGGACAGCGGTGTGGGCCAGGGGAGGACTTACGCTGCTGTCGCGGCCGGAGGGAGGCCGCAAGGAGGAGGACGAGGCCAGGGCCAAGGAGGCCGGGCCTCAGGGAGCCGGTTTCAGGGCGTTCAGGGGGTTGGCGGCAGAGGAGGAAACCGCCAAGCGGGAGGCAGGGGTCAAGGTCCCCCGCAAAACCGTCCTAGGAACAGGCCTCCCTATAGAGTAGGAGGATGGCACCCAGGGCTGCCGCAGGGCAGGCCTTGGGAATCTTTGGGTCTGGACCAGACTTTATGGCAACAACGATTGGACCGGGGCCAGTGCATTTTCTGCGGTGACCCGGGCCACATCATCAAATACTGTCCTAAGTATCGAGAGACCCGAACGGCTGCCCAAGGGCCAAAAGGCAGCCGCCGGTAGGGGTAGCAACTGCCCCTACCACTAGGCCATGTGGGGAACATAGCGCTAGCCGGCAGGAGACTCCCACACCACATGTGCCTATGGCAGAGGTTGCAGGCCGGTGTCTAGAYAGCTGYCCAGAGACTGCTTGTGTYAGRGTCTCTCTAGACACCTCCCTCACAGGCGTGGCCGAAGAGTTGAAGGAGAGGAGGCCCGCCTGGGCCAAGATGAAGAAGGAGAATAAAGGGCAGCTGATCTTATTAGATGCAGAGATTTTTAGAAGTAGAGTAGGGGCCCTAGTAGACTCAGGGGCCACCCGCAGCTATATTAGTAAGAAAGCGCTGCAAAAGTTGAGGCTGGGACTTAAAGTCCAGAAACTGACAGACCCCATAGTTAGTATCCTCACGGACAATCCGCCTAGAGAAAGATGGGAAGGTGGAGAAGGTCCGCCACTCCCTGACTCTCCTCGTAGAGGACAGCCTCCCGTTTGATATAGTGCTGGGAATGGATTGGGGAGAGGCAGCCGGGGCAACGCTCCATCTGAAGGAGCACGAGTGTAGACTCCCTAGTTCTGCAGGCGAGGCTAAGACTGCCCACCTGCTTCATGTGTCAGGAGTAGAGAATTCCTTGGCACATTGCTGCCTTAGTGCCCCTGCGTTCGCCAGATTGGTGAAGAAGGAGAACTTAGAGGAACAGGTTTTTGTTGCCTATGTTAGGCCAGTCACTGAGCCTAAGGAAGAGAAGCCCGTAGACCCTGCTATTGCCAAATTGCTGGAAGAGTTTAAGGATTTAACTGAGCCGCCGACAAGCACGGTGCCGCGGCCCATCCAGCACCGTATTGAGATAGAGCCTGGCAGTAGAACTCCTAAGGGTGCTGTATATAGGATGTCCCCGCGGGAGTTGGAAGAGCTACGGAAGCAGTTGGACGAGCTCCTCGAAAAGGGTTGGATTAGGCCCAGTTCGTCTCTTTTTGGAGCCCTTGTTCTCTTTGTCCCTAAGAAAGAGGGAGAGTAGAGGATGTGTATAGACTATAGGGGTCTGAATACCATTACAGTGAAGAATGCTGAGCCACTGCCTAGAATAGACGGTCTCTTAGATGGAGTGCAGGGGGCGAAGTATTTCTCCAAGATAGATTTGAAGTCCGAATATCATCAGATAGAGGTGCATCCTGATGATCAGTACAAGACGGCCTTCCGGACTAGATATGGGCACTACGAGTTCATAGTGATGCCCTTTGGACTAACCAATGCGCCAGCTACGTTCCAGCGCTGTATGAACGATTTGTTTAGGCCGTGGTTAGATAGATTTGTTGTAGTTTACTTGGATGACATTTTAGTGTTTAGTAAGACCCTTGAAGAGCATCAGGGTCATCTCAGGCAGGTCTTGGAGAAGCTGAGGGAAGCTAACTTCAAGATCAATGCAAAGAAGTGCGATTGGGCGAAAACCCAAGTTTTGTACTTAGGCCACGTCTTAGACGGAGACGGCGTCAAGCCAAAGGATAGCAAGATCGCAGCGATTAGAGATTGGCCCACGCGACGTACGCTGACAGAGTTGCGCTCGTTTCTGGGTTTAGCTAATTACTACCGGAAGTTCGTGAGGAACTTCTCCACCATCGTTGCGCCCCTTTGCAGATTGTTGAGGAAGGAAACTATCTGGAAGTGGGATAAGGACTGCACGTCTGCCATGAAGAAGTTAAAGCAGGCATTGATAGGGTATCCAGTCCTTAAAGTCGTCGACCCGTCCTTGCCCTTTGTCGTCACGACCGATGCGAGCCAATACGGCATAGGTGCAGTGTTGCAGCAAGACGATGGCAATGGGTATAGACCCGTAGAGTTCATGTCCGCCAGGATGCCTTCAGAGAAGGTCGCAACATCTACCTATGAGAGGGAACTCTACGCTCTCAGGCAAGCGTTGGATCACTGGAAGCACTACTTGCTTGGGAGGCACTTCAAAGTCTATTCCGATCATGAGACACTGAGATGGTTAAAGACGCAGGCCAAGATGACACCTAAACTCACTAGGTGGGCCGCAGAGATAGACCAATATGACTTCGAGCTCAAGCCTGTCAAAGGGAATTACAACGTAGTCGCGGATGCTCTGAGTAGGAGGGCAGATTACTTTGGGGCAATAGTACACTATCTTGATATAGGAAAGGACCTGCAACAGAAGGTTAGAGAGGCCTATGTGCAGGACCCTATCTATAGTGAACTCTTTAAGAAGGTCAAGGAGGCCCCAGAGACTGAGCCGAACTACCGCACTACTGAAGGGCTGCTCTTTGAGAAGACTAATGTATTTGACCGTCTGTGCATCCCCAATAGCGAAGAGATTCGTAGTCTGATTTTGGGCGAATGCCATGACACAGAGGGTCATTTTGGTTGGCAAAAGACCTTAGCCAATCTGATGCGCGCGTATACCTGGCCAGGGATGAAGAATGACTGCGTAGAGTATGTTCGCAGTTGTAAGGTTTGCCAGCGTAATAAGAGTCGCACGCGAGCGCCGTTAGGTCTTCTCAGACCCTTACCGATTCCTGACCAGCCAGGAGACTCAGTGTCCATAGACTTCATGGACACCCAAGTCAAGAGTAGGCATGGCAAGAGCCAAGTCATGGTCATATTTGACCGTTTCAGTAAGTATGCAGTTTTTGTTCCTTTGAATTCAGAGCCACGTACTGATTTAGTCATACAGAGATTCTTTGACTGTTGGGTTAGTGAAAATGGAATCCCACTGTCTTTAGTTAGCGATAGACATAGTCGCTTTACTAGCCAGAACTGGCAAGAACTAATGGGAGTATACGGATCTAAGTTGTTGATGTCGTCCGACCGTCATCCAGAGACTAATGGTCAGACAGAGCAAATGAACAAGATCCTACAGCAAGTTCTGCGCATGTACATTAGGCCAGATCAGGTTAACTGGGACGAGATGTTGCCTAAAGTAGCTAGTGCGTATAACAACAGCGTGCATTTGTCCACCTGCCGCACTCCCAACGAACTGCACAAGTCCTTTCGACCGCGCAGACCGTTCGAAGGACTCAACCGGGATCAGATTCAGAGATTACCGCCCGGGACCAGGGAGTTTGC